ATATATATAGTTGTAGCTAAGGATGCTTGAAGGAATTAACAGCGCAGTTAGCCGCTACGAAAAGGTAGCGCACTATAAAAAAAACTGCACAGAGTGAGAAAGAGAGAGAGAGATATGGACAGAAAGAAAGAGTAACAGATACTTAGAGCAGAGAGCCCAAAAAACAAGGTGCAGGAATGACATGTTACTTAAATGAGCAAGTTTGTTGGAAACAATGTCGACAGTGTCTAGACACCAGGCAGCAGCAGGCAGCAGGAGTAGCAGCAGCAGCAGGAGTAGCAGCAGCAGCAGCAGGAGTAGCAGGAGTAGCAGCAACAGTTAAAGCAGCCAAGTTGAATCTTTCTCATGTAAGTGAAGCTCTCAAGGATTGGGAACAACAACGACTATGGCAAAAGGGCCGTGTGGGCGTGCAATTGTTGTCATGGGCGTGGCAGCAACTTGAGTGAAGTTGGCAACGAGCAGTAGAAAAACAACAGCAGCAACAACGACTGCAACAACAACTACAGCAACAACAACAATCAGCAACCAGCAAAGACAAAAACTTATCGTTAAAGTACGAAAATTTGTGCAGAGCGCACGCAATTTTCTCCTTCTATGCCATTTCGTCTACTTTGAACTTTTGCTGCTGCAACGGCAATGCTGGCCATCAACTAACCGTACATCACAGTTGCTATTTTGGGGAAAAAGTATATGCATATATACATAGGTATACGTATGCATGAGTATGTATATGGATGCTGTAAGCGAGGAACTTGCAAATGTACCAAAATTGAAATGGAAGTGTACCAAAGCATATTTTATTTTATTTTTATGTTTATTTATTTATTTTTTAATTTTTGTTGTTTATTATTATAATTTTATTTTATTTATTATTTATATTTATTATAATTTTTATTTAATTATTATTAGTTTTCAAATTTGTTTTTGTATAAATATGTTATCAAATTTGAATTTAATATATAGATCATTTATTAATAATAATAAATAATAATAATAAAAAATTATTATTGATAAGAAATGAATGTAATATATAGATAATTTACTAATAATAATAAATAATAATAATAAAAAATTATTATTGATAAGAAACTGCATTAAATGATTTATTATGCTTAACTAAAAGTCCATATTTGGTATAAATAATTTCATGCGTGTGTGTGTGTGCTTTTCTCAAAAATACTAGAAATGTACCTTTTAATATGTAATGGGAATAATTAGAAGAAGTGTTTGTTATGTTTGATTTTATGCATAAAACAGATAGAAGTAATATTTTTATTTATAGCTTAAATTGAATTGGAGTATGTATTGTAAAATATACTAACGCCTTTTAGCATACTTTAGCCGATGGCCAGCTCATAATAGACCTAATACTGTAATAATATAAGTTACCCAAAACTATACTAAAATATACTGAAATGAACGAAAATACAAAGCCAGATTCAGCAGATTATAATGTACCTATGTGTGTGATGTACCTAAAACTAAACTTAAATTTACCAAAGTTCAAAGAACTGTACCTATATGGCATTAATTGCATTCTAGATAAATGTACCTAAATGGCATTAAGTGTACTCCAAATAATGCTCAAATAATCAAAATTAAAAGGTGTACTCTACTGACTCAGAGTGTACCAAATTGAAGCCATATCCCAATGTGCTCAATAAATAAAATCTTACTCCGTTTTCTTTCCCCACCCATTTCAAATGTACCGAAACGTATCAGAATAGTCCCAACTGAATTCAAATATCTTGAAATGATCCCAATTGTACCCACAAAATGTACTCAATAAAAGAAAGCAACCACACACACCCACACAGATGCTTCTCTCTCCCACTCTCCCTCTCTCTCCCTCTCTCACTCTCTCAGCATCCGCTGCAGTTGGGTGTATTGCGTTTTGTGCAATGTAATCACGAAATCGTGTCGCCCACTTCTGAACTCTTAATGGCAATCGGTGTAAACGTGCGCTCAAGTTTTCCGGGCTTAGTAGTTCTGCTCGTTTTGTAGGTGGACATAAATATTTATCTTTTGGCAAAAACTTGTTTGATATTTTACTTCAGTTTTTCCCTCTACACGAGCGTGTGTCTATGTGTGTGTGTGTGTGTGTGTCTGCGTGTGTGTTTGTGTCTCTGGGTCTGATGTTGGCCATGCACACACAGAGTTTTCTTTGCAGTTTTGTCAGCCAAAACTTGGCAATGTTTTGCAACATTCTGTGCATAAATTATAAGGTTGCATCATGGTCAAATGCACTGAAATCGTTGCAGTTACTCCGACAGAACTTTGACAGCGCTGTTTGCAGCCATATATTATGCTACAGCAGATCAGAGCAAATTCCCATAACAGATTTACAGAGGGCAACGTTGCTTCCTTTTTATTTGTATTTTTTTATTGCTAAACGTGCGGAGGTAATTGGAAATATTAAGAGAGGCCTTTGGATATGATTTTTTTCTGAAGCGAAAATGCCAGAAGTTTATATATGTTTCATGTGTATTTATAAAGAATATTATGTTATTTAATACTCGTACATATGTTCATATATCTTGGCTATATATTTATGCATGTAGTTAATTGTCAGATTTTGGAATTGCTAGACATAGAATAGAGATAGAGAGAGTAAGCTGCTCCTAAACTTGCAGTAAAATAGTTATTTAAGCTGCGTTTAAACTAGGGACTTGGTTAAATGAGTGGAATTTACAGAGAGATAGAAAGGGAGAGAGAGAGAGCGAGAGAGAAAGAGAGAGAGAGCGAGAGAGAGAGATAGTGAGAGAGAGAGAGGAAGATTTAGAGTAGTTGTGGGACAGAGTTTGGCTCCTGTTGGGACTAGAAATATAATAAATGCAAAGATAATTGCAACTAGTTTTCCTATAAACATTTTTATTTATATTTTCTGCTATATCCATATATTCTATATAACATATAAGTCGCAATTTCCTTTCAAAATTTCCAATTAAATATATATATGCTTCAACAACTTCTTCATCCCATACCCAAAGAATATCAAAGCTTGCTGCAGTGATAACTTTTAATTACTTGAAAATAACAGAGAGCAGAAATGCATATGCACAGTGCCCCGTGCCGATTGAGCAGCCTTCCGCTGTTTGCTGCTCAACCCTTCGATGGCATTCAATTTACGAGAAAACGGAGCGAGCCATCAGTGTCCTCGAAATGTCAGAGTTGCGAAACTTTGCCATCGTCTTGGCGACTGCCCCAGGCCAGATCCTCGGCAGGCCGGGCGGCCGCTGCCAGGAGTCGAAATGAAGCCCGCAAAACCGCAGCACAATAAAATATTTCCCCATCCGGGCGGTGCAGAGGGCGCCAAGCAGATTCAGTTGAATGCAAACTCAGAATGCACGGACCAATGCGACACTTGCACAAAAGTTCCGAGCATTCAGGATCCAGACACAAACAACGGCCCGACGACGCCGACGACGCAGGGATAAAGAAAGTATGTGACTCTGGGCGTAACACAAAGTTAAAAAATATATATATATGTATATAGAATATATATATGTATATAAAGAACAACTTCAACTCGACACGTTAAATTAAAATGTCACATAAATCTTTGCGGCAAATTTCATTAAAATACGCTTACAGCATAGAGCGCAGCGCCAACATGAATTGCAGACTGCAGAGTGGAGAGGGGAGAGGTAAGAGCAGTGGGAAGGGGAGTGGGGTTTGGCCCCTTCTTTATGAAACATTCGCATACGCCCACAAAGCCACAAAACTTTGCACTTTAAGTGAAATGTCGACGACGACGTTGGATTTTTGAATGGAAGCTCGGACAATGCCCCGCATTGGAGTGCGGGGAAGGGGGGGGGGAAATAAACTCAACTTTTGTCGAGTGAACGGAACAACAAGAGCTGGCGAAATTGATACGAGAGACGCCAGTTAACTAAATAAGAGCTTGCTGAAGCATTTCAGCTATGAATATTTTGCAAAATTATTAAATACTTGTCGAGTTTCGTGGGCAAAAGTCTTGAGGAGAAGACACTCTGAAGAGGAGTTTAGCTGAAGAGGGGATGTTGATCTGGTGAGGGTA